ATCTTTGGCCATTTTGTGATGCATTAATCCCATCACCTCTTAAGAGATTTCAATTCTTAAATGATTCCTCAATTTCTGAGTGAATTCCATTTGGCCAGCTTCTTCTCAAGAGCTGCTGCTTTATGGAATCAATTCCCATGTGAATGCTTCCAAGAACACCACAATTTTAACCTCTTCAGGTCAAGGTTCAATTGTTATCCATCCTCTTTATGTTCACTTCTTTCTACCTCCTCTAGAACCATTGGAAAATGAAGGGATTGAGGATGATTTGTATATCTGCCCTACAAAATAGCTGTTCGTGGCAAAAATCTGTTTATGTGGAACTTGCTCTTTATGTTTGGAATATGGAAGAGATAGGGGTGATTTGACATAACCGGGCTGTAAAGGCCTGAACTGGTGGAACTAAAGAAGTGAGCTAATCTGAACATTTGCCATAGAAATAGTTTCAATATTATAGCCATTTATTTTATAGCCAATTATTCAAAGCTGAGAAAAGGGGTCTGCTCATTTGACTGCACAAGGCTCAAGGATATCTCTTATTAATTAATTTCTTTTGCTTTTTGCCTTTTCCACAAAAGCAGAGACTAAAACTTTTATTGCTTGTCTTGGGGATTGAGCTCATAAACTGGTATTTAAACAGAAAATATAGATTAATTTTTAACTGGAATTTTTATGAACATTTCACAGCTTTCAAAAACAAATATCCCAACCCTAAACGAAGAAAAAAAAATCCTGAATTGGATAATGCTTTATTTTTTTGTGCTTGTCTTCAGTATTGCTTGGAGCTGATTATGGAACTAACGGGACTTCTCTTTCCTATAAATATACATTCTCTCCGTAATTATATATAATCAAGATTATTTACATTACAATTTTTGGCAATTATATTCAATTTTCTCTTCTTGGTCTATTTACTATCTATAAATAATGTCTGCAATTTTCAGCAAACTTTTGCCTTTTTTTTGGAAACAATTTTTTAAGTTTGAATATAATGATTCTGACTGGATATCTGGAATGAGGTGTTATTTACATTTGGACTAATGTCCACGTCTTTGTTGTTATTATTCCTCTATTGGTTATATTACACTGGGTCTGTACCGATTTTATAATTTCAGGCTGAATTTCTAGGATGAGGTATTATCATTATTTACATTTGGACTAATGTGCTCATCTTTGTTGTTTTTATCCCTCCATAAGTATATCACATTGAATCTGCATCAATTTAATAATTTTGGATAGAATTTCTATGATGAGGAGTTATCATTATTTACATTTGGACTAACGTCCTCATCTTTGTTGCTGTTATCCTTCCATTGGTATATCACATTGGATCTGTACCGATTTGTAAATTTCTGGCTAAATTTCTGGGATGAGGTCTTATCATTGTTTACATTTTGACTAATGTCCTTATCTTTGTTGTTATTATTCCTTCACTGGTAGTATTACATTGGATCTGTACAAATTTTATAATTTTGGGCTGAATTTCTAGGATGAGGAGTTATCATTATTTGCAGATGGACTCATGTCCTCATCTTTGTTCTTGTTATCACAATGTAATGGCGTTTGCAACCTACAGCTTTTTTTCAGGTGTCTGTCAAACCAGCTAACCTTCAGAGAATTTTTAAACTGAACATTTAATCTACAGATATAGGATGTCCTGATTCTGCTTTCCTGGTCTAGGAATATCTCATTTTGCTCTTATTTAATATTGCTCAGTTATTCCTTGATCTGTTATCACCACTCAGACCAGGGATTGAACTCACAATGTTGACGTATCCAAATTCACAAACCAATTCTTCATTATCCTCTGATGAAGCTTTAAAAGGGAAACATGTTAGATTTATAAAAGTTTCCTATTTGTTCTTTATCCTATCATGAACAAAAAAAAAAAACAATATGGAGTGAGTGTAAAGTGAAAAAGAAAAACAACAAAAAGGACAAATAACCATGACATTCCATATATATATATATATATATATATATATATATAAAAGTGAACATAGAAGTCAACACTTAGAAGTGATAGGCTGTTTTATGCTAGATGCAATCAACCGGTGGCCTGACAATTGTGTCTAGCATGAAACAGACTGTCACCTCTAAGTGTTGACTTCTATGTTTACTTTTATATTTACACATGCTCTATCTCTGATATTGAGTATTTTATCCCATAAATATAGCATCTTAAAATTATATTTCTTCATATATATATATATATATATATATATATATATATATATATATATATATATATATATATATATATGTGTTTATTTAGCAATCCTTCTTTCATGCACATTTCATTGAATACAACAGACAAGGTGCTTTTATTTAGTTTTTTATACAAATTCTCATGCAATAAAATAATTTTTTCTTTTCAGATGATAAATTATATAAAAACTGTCTGAATGCTCTTTTTATCTGACCGCTTTCGGCTATACATTTAGCCATTTTCAAGAATTAAATATTTTAACTGTTAAATAAGAAATAGTTTGTTGCATGTATGTTTTATAAAATGTTTTCATTTTTCAAAACATACATTCAGACAGTTTTTATATAATTTATCATCTGAAAAGAAAAAATTATTAGATTGCATGAGGAATTGTATAAAAAACTAAATAAAAGCACCTTGTCTGTTGTATTCAATGAAATGTGCACATATATATATATATATATATATATATATATATATATATATATATATATATATATATATATATACATATAGTTTGCAAGTTTCATGAAAAAACGACTGACAAATTACTGTGGTTAAGTTTTTTTTATTTAATTTTTCTTGTGTTATAATTTTTTTTTTTTCAGGACATAAATTATGTAAAAATTGTATTAGGTTTTTGTAAAGTTGTAGCCATTGTCAAGAATGATTTTATTTTTACTTTTAACTGAATGTAGGAATTATTTTAGGTACGTAAATAGAGTTATAGGAATGTTTTATTTTCCAAATAGGGTGAGCATATCGTTTAACATGTTCATAGTTGGTATTATTGAGAAAAAATGAAAAAGTTATTTTAATGAAAACTTGTACAAAAAAAAACACATATACATATATATATATATATATATATATATATATATATATATATATATATATATATATAATTTATAAATTTGCAAAACATTATAAACTTCAAATAAAAATTTAGGAAGGAAATCCTCATCAGTACTGGAAACAGTGATAACAGCTACTAAGCTTGAGAAACCAATTTACCTGAAATTTTATTAATTTCAACCTCCACCAGTACTGACTTTTTGGTCAATGAATGCCACATGGCTAATATTACTATTACTTGTAGGGAAACGGCTAATATTACCATTACAATAACTTGTGTATAAAACTTTAAACCCAGTTACGAATATGAGTTACGTTAAAGGTTTTATCCTCCATAAATACTCTGGTCAACTATTATTTTTGGTGAAACACAATTTTTGCTATTTTATACATACATATATATATCTTTTATATACAACTGACAAGGAAGATTTATTTTTATTAAGTTTTTCTAGCACAAAAAATTTCCATAATTTTTATTAACCCAAGCACTTTTGGCGACTTTTATAGTCATTCTCAGTGATCTTTTGTATCGGGTGTTATTTTTTCCTCATGTTTTGACAGTTGTGTTGTAATTTATTTTTATGTTATTTTGAATAAATTACAACAATCAAAAAATGAGAAAAAACTAACAACACCAGACACAAAACACCCTTGAAAATGGCTATAGGAGTGGCTGAAAGCACTTGAGACAATAAGAAAATTATGGAAAATCTTTGTACTCCATTACTCCTACAAAATGGAATACTATAAGTAAGCTGAAAAAACTTAATAAAAATTTAACTAAATCTTCCTTATTGGTCATATTTAATGAAAGATGTTTGAAAGAAAGGTTGCTGCCCAAATATATATATATATATATATATATGTCATTCGCAGACAGTACTGCTTTGCTATATCACAGTGCAACTAGACATCTGAATGGCTCAAGCCAGGATTGAAACCCGACCGATTTGGTATCAGTCAGAGTTTCTACCACTGACACTAAGTTATCTTCACTCAGCAGAGAGAAACAGCTAATTCTAGCGTATTGTTTTTACGAATGTAAACAAACACCAATCAGTCAGAGTCCTCAAATTCATTTTACTGAAGAGCTTTGCATTAGTGCAGATGGATATATATATATATATATATATATAAATGTATGACAGATACATTTGCAGAACTTGCAGCTCATGTCCAAAATCACCTTCAGTTGGTTGTTACATGGTGCAAAGTATGCCTTTTAATTTTAACACCTCCAAAACTAAACTGCTCTCCATTAATAATCTGAGAGACCTGTCTCTGCCTTCCCAGATTGGTGGCAAGATCTTGTCATTTTACAGTTGGAATGGCTAGATGTAACCCTAAATTCTATGCTAACAGTTTCTTTTTTTGCACTTCTTGCTTGTGGAACTCTCTTCTGGCTCCATGCTTTCCAGCTAACTTTAATCTTCAAAAATTTAAATGCAATGTCAATCGCAATCTATTGTCCTCCTGATTACTCTTCTTTTGTTCTCACTCCTTATTGATGTTTCTGTTTCTAATTCTTCCACACACACAGTAATCCCTGCGTGTCTTATTGCCCTGCTTAGGCTGAACTAGATTAAAAAAACAAAAAAACAACACTATCTTCCATAAATACACTGGTTGACTGTTAATTTTGGTGAAACACCATCTTTGTTATAATAGATTGGTTAGTTGTTTTTTTTTAGTGGCATATCAATCTGTATGTTTTTTTTTATGCCAAAATCTAAATATTTTGTATCCAATTGTTTGTTTTTTTGTTTGGGGGTGGGGTAGTTAATTATGGTTTGGCGATACAGGTCTTACTAATTAACCCATAGCTGGGGGAGAAGTGGTGGATACATACATTTCCCAAAGGTGCCTGTGTATCAGTGAAGTCAACTTGAATTGGAACTCGGCTCTGTGATTAAAAATTCCTAGCTGTTATCGATTACACCATATGGTATTCCCCAGCAGTCACCCATCTAGGTACTGATCATGCTCGGTGTTGCTTAACTTCTGTGATCGTTTGGGAACCAGTGTTTCTACGTGATGTGGCTGTAAGCCACATCATGTTGATAGATAGATAGATAGATAGATAGATAAGTAGGTAGATAGATAAATAAGTAGGTAGATAGATAAGTAGATAAATAGATAGATAAATAGATAAGTAGATAGATAGATAGATAAAATTTGCAGAAGATTATAACTGGTATATATAGCGTTAGACACCATTATAAAGAGGCTCAGCTGTAAAGGATGATTTGTGCACACGTACATATTTCTCCAATGAGAATTATATACTTATTCCTACATGTGTGACATCATGACAACAGAAAAAGTGTTAAAGGAGAAAAGAAAAGGCATAGTGTCATCTATTTGAATGTCACATAAATTTTCAACATAAGAGTCGAGTACAAGAACAGATAATTTTTCCTTCACTTCCGTAATTTTTTCTTCTCTTTTACTCTTTGCTTAAACAACAACAACAAAATGAAAACTTCATCGTTGAGGAGAATTCTTTTTTGTTTGATATTTATCATTTTTACTTTCATTTTAATCTTTTTTTTCTTTTTCTCTGTGAGAAACTTTTTGTCAGTAGAATGGATGAAATGGATGTGTAAGAATTTTTATTTTTTTAGTTTTCCTTTTACCACATTTTTTTTTTTTTTTTACCCAAGTCTCTTATCTCCATTTTTTTTTTCTACTCCAGACATGCATTTTTAAGGCTTCCAGCCATCTTTTGCATAACCCACTCCCATTCCATCTCACAACCAATTCTTTGGCTGTAAAATACAAAGTTTCAGATAAGAAATTGGACTGTTCCTTTTTGTTTTTTTTGTTTCTTCTTTCATTTTGGAAACACTGTTTATCACCAAGTAGCCATGTATTTTCTTTCCTTAATTCTTCCCTCCATTTTTTTTAACTCCGTTTTTGTGTGCGCATATGTAGAATTCCCCCACTACAGCACCACAAATGCTGTTATTGCTGTGAAGGTGGTTTTTATGGCATTCGTTCATTCCATCCTTAATCACAGTCTTGTATCTAACTCCTTTCATCCTGCCAAAAACGGTAGAATCAGATTTACTTAATGTTCGCTTTATTCCGAATTCAAAATCTTTTCTGTAAGTTCTTTGAAATTCTCAGGGCTTTGATTTCTATCTTCCTTCCTTCCTCTTTTTTTATAGCTTTATCTTTTCGCTAACTTCGTACTTTCTTTCATTTCTTTTCCTATTCGCCTTCCTGTATCTTTTTCTACCTTTTACGTTTCCTTTGTCCTATCATCTTTTTGCCGATTCATTTACCAAATCTTGCTTTCCTCTTATCTTTCAAAACTTCCACCTGTCCATTGATTTTTCTCTTTTATTCTTCATATCATTCCACCTACTTCGATTCCAATGCTTTTTTATCCTATAATACTGCTATCTATAAATTAGTTCCTTTTATTCTCTCTCAATGCCTGCTTCTTTACTAATCTTTTACTAATTCTTCTATTTATTCCAGTCATTCAATTCTCTTTCAGTTTATCCCAATTTTTTTCATTCCTTCATTTACTTTGTGTGATCAGTATGTTTCCTTCAGTTTTTTCTTCTCCATTATTCCTTCTTCTCATTAGCCTTCTCTCATCCTTTCTTTTTTTGCTTAATTCTTCTTTTATGTGACTTCAGGACATAGGCAATGATGGCTCTCTACATCTTCCTGTCCCTTGCAGCTTTTAGTAAGTTTTGTCTTTTTGTTATTAAACCCTGCACTACCATCCATTTACTCATCAAGAAGCTGTGCAAATGTCCAGTCAGAACTAAGTAACGTCACTCGTCAGAACATTTCCAATGGAAATAGCAAGAGGCAACGTCTCTCCTGTCTTGTAGAATGGAAAAATAATTCATCCAGAAGACCGCATAGATGCCTTTTGACAAGTCTGCAAAGTAGGGACTGAGCAGCTCCAGACCAGATAAGGCAGTCTTCTTTTATATGGTATGTCCCTTTAGGATGTAGGCAATCATAGGTCCTCCACATCTTCCTGTCCCTTGTAGACTTTAATAAATTTTACCTTTTTATGACTTCTTCCAAACCCTGTTCTACCATCCATTTGCTCAAGTCCATTATGTTATGCGCTGTTTCCTCTGTCCCTTTTTCCTCTCAATCTGTCTTGTGAGTATCATATTTTACAAGCCCTCCTTCCTCATTACATGTGTTTCCTTTCTGTTTCCATTTTCTCTGAAACTTTGTTATTGCACAAATGTTTGGTCCATAGTATCATCAGCATCTTTCTGTAGAACCACATTTCTTTTGCTTCAGGATACTTCTTCATCTTTGAGAAGATTGTCCAGCATCTGCTGCCATACAGGAAGACAGATATCACGTGAAAGTTCAGTACTTTTGTCTTTGTTTCAAATAAATTTTTCTGCTTAGCTTTTGGAATGCCTCCTTTGACATCGCAAATACGTCTTCAGATCTCAGTGTTGCCCTTTCTGTTAGAACACTTCCAGGATATTTAAATTTTTGTACTTGTTTGATTTTAATATCCCTGACCTGTAATTTGTATTTTGGGCTCATCTTTTTTGCTGATTACCATGTTTTCTTATCTTTTATATTTAGTCCTATCTTCTTGCTTTCCTTCAGTTTCTTTTCTGTTATGGTAATTTACCCATGCACACATGGACTCTTCCAACTATAAATAGGAGCAGGTATTGCCTTTTGGAGAGGGAAGTTTCCAGCAGTCAGCTCTGACAGTCGGACTGAACATTCTTGCTGTAACACTCTCATTTGTATATGTTTGTATTACTGTTTCTGTTTATATATTTGTTTAACTCAATTCCTCTCTTTGTGTCTTTATTTCTGGCCCTAACAAGGCCACAACATTTTCCATGTCTGCTATTAACACTGTGTCATCTGAATATCATACATTGTGAAGATTGTGGTCACCAATAATGAATCCTGGGAGTAACACTTTTCTTTATTTTCGATTATATCTTTGTCCTGTTTTCCTTTTCTTTCTGTCCTCTTCTCTAACGTTTCCTTCTTAGTTATACTTTCTCTAATGTTTAATCTTTCCTTTTTCTTTTCTTCATTAAATGCTTTATTTTTTTAATTTCATTTGCTGTCTTTCTTTTCTCAATCATTCACCTTTCCTTTCTTGCAGACTTGAATTTTTTTTTTTTAGTCCTTCCTCTTTCACTTTTTAGTCCTTTCTAATTCCTTTCTCTTAAATCCTTCCTAATCACTTTGTTCTTTTCTTTTCAGTCCTTCCTTATTAGCTCGTTTTTAATCCTTCTTAATTCCTTTCTCTTTAATCTATTTTAATTCCTTTCTATTCAGTTCTTCCTTATTTGTTTCTATACAATCCTTTCTAATTCTTTCCTCTTTTTCTCATCTATGCTTCCTCATTTCTTCCTTCCTTTTTCTCTTCAGTCATTCCTAATTCCGTTCTGTTCAATCCTTCCTTTTCTCTTCCAACATTTCTTATTCCTTTCTCACAGATTCTTCCTAATTCCTTTCCCTTTAATGCTTAATAATTCCTTCCTCTTCAGTCCCTCCTAATTCATCTTAATTCCTTTTTCTTTAACCCTTCTTAATTCCATTCTCCTTACTTTTTACTATTTCTTTTCTCACATTCTTAATTCCTTTCTATTTAATCCTTACTAATTCCTTTCTATTCAATCCTTCTTAATTCCTTTCTTTTTAATCCTTTTTAATTCCATTCTCTTTATTTTTCCTGTTTCCTTTCTCACGGATTCTTCCTAATTCCTTTCTCCTTAATCTAATCCTTTCTAATTCCTTTCTTTTTTTCTCTTCAGCCCTTCCTAATTCCTTTCTTTTTTTTTTTCATTTATTTTTTTACACTTATCCTTTCCTTTCTCATCGTAATCTTTTATTCCCTTTTTTTCTCTGCTTTCATTTTCCTGTCTCTCATTCACTTGCTCATTTCTTCTTTCCTTTTTTGTTTTTATTCTGTTTTCTTTCTACTTTTCTCTGTCTTTTTTTTCTGTGCTTTCTTTCCAATTTTATTCCCCAAAAATAAAAAATCTGGTAATAACAGAAAAAAAGTAACATGTAAATGTTTTTACCAATTTTTTTTTTTTTCTCAAAAATTTGCTTACCAATGCCAAAATGGTAGGGCATAAACTTGCTAATGTCAGTTCCTCAAAGAAGTTGACATTTCTAATGCTCTCAGGCACTGTTTTTCCTTTGGCCTTCTTCAGTTGGTAAAACAGGAATCATCTCTTATCTCTGGGTCATTTTAATACTCCACGTCAATACATGCACAGAATACGAGCCAATACTTAATGAGATAGCGAGAGACATTTGAAACCACAGAGAGATCAAACTCTTACTTCAAGTGCATATTTTTTTTATGCAGCAGATTTTGAAAACTGTTTGCGATTAACTAGAAATTGTTTGAAAATGTGCAGTATTTGGTAAAGAAATATCTTTAGGTGCGTGTCTAGTAGAGAAAATTATGCAAATGTTATTCTGACAGCACAAGTGTTGATGGTGATTAAGATTTTTCTGGTCTATTTGTCCCTACTTTACTCCTGTATGATCACCAAAGTTAAGCAACATCAAGCTAGATGGGCTACAGCTTGGTAATACCAGGTGCTTTAAGCTTGGGAGGTGTAATGGATAATGATTCGGAATTGTTAATTGGAGAGCCAAGTTTCAATTCCAATTGGCTTTCTTATATTCACCTATGTGTAAATACCCTTGCAAAAGGTATAAATCCACCTTTTTTCCCCAGCTATGGGTTAATTAGTAAGACTTTTATTACTAAACAATTACAATCTCCAAAAATAAAATAAAATCATGTACAAAAAATATTTACATTTCGGCATTAAATAACCCACAGAGGTTGATATGCTGCTAAACGAAATCAACCAAAACAACCCTACATTTCAACCAAATATTTGGATAATTCAGAAGTCATCGGTTGAGTCCAAGAAAATATATTCAATACAAAAATAGTTCAAACCCACCTCAGCAACTTTCCTTCTGCAGATTTGCCATGTAATGACCTTAGTTTCATCTCAAAGAAGAGGTATTGTCCGCTGGGTACAGCACTAAGTACTTCAGTTCATAATCAGTTTTTACCCACTTGTAATGGTATATATATCACAAGGTAAAAATTTGCTTATGCCACACCTGCATTTTCATATAATTTGTTAAATATTATTAAGCAAGGTATTTTTTGGAATAAAATTTACTTGTACAATATTTGTTTGTTATTTATATGATAACTATTTATATGCGAAATATATTAGCTTATAATACCTATTCTTATGAAAAAAATATTACTTATATAAGGATTTATTATTGAAACAAATTAAATGCAACATAAGTTTTTATTTATTAATAAGTGTAAATTTTTAAATTATGAAGTCCTACTAAAGAAAAAATTCAACCTCTGACAAGAATCAAAAAGGCATCTGTTTTTTACCCCAGGGAAACCATTTCTTAAGCTGAAGCATGCCTCTACCAATTCAGCCACAGAGCCTGACTGACAGGACAAAACCATGATAAACTGGTAAAGAAGACATGTTTAGAGAAATAGGACTTCTCAATATAGGCTGGTTGTTATTAATTTCAGAGGAAATCAATGCATAATCAATTCTATCTATCAAGTTTGAGTAAATAGATGGTGGAACAAGGTTTAGGGGAGATAGCAAAAAGATAAAATTTATTAAGAATTGCAAAAGACAGGAAATTGTGGAGAGCCATGATCGCCAATGTATTGAAGGGGTGTAGCATATAGTAGTTGGGTTGCTTTCATGTCTTCAGCCAATGCTCTTAATATTCTACAATTTTCTTCAAGCATTTCTGGCTCCTTACAATTGTTCTAATGTTGCCAAAGTTTTCCATTTCTTTTAGTTTTTTTTTTAGTCAGTCTTCTTTTATGTGGCATGTCCCTTCAGGACGTAGGCAATCATAGGTCCTCTTAGTTTTTTTTTTATGATCTCTCTTCAATTCTTTCTCAATAAAAAATATAAATTTTATAGATTTTATAAACCATGGCAACCTTTATAATTCTGAAATTAAAATATATATATATATAAATATATATATATATATATATATATATTTGGTTGGACCAAATATGTTAGCTCTATCTCTGATATTGAGTGCTTTCTAATAAGTACCACGCATATAATATATAAATAATTATATATATATATGCAAACATATATTGTTAAATATAACAGACAATGAATGTCTATTATGTTTGATCATGAGCCGTTCTAAGCTTTGTATAGTGGCTTTACTTTTGGGAGAAAATAAAGACAAAAACTGTCCAACATTTGGATATTTTTTATTATGCTGTTCCTCGATCTAAGCTTTCGCTTCACATGAGCCATCATCAAAGTGATTATATGGACATTACAACAGAGATATTTACCATCAAAGATGACATCCTGTTATGTTTACATAGAAGTTTGCTATGTGATGATAGCAGTCATGGAATAGCAAATTCAGCTCATAAATTCATAATGCAGTTCTATGAGATCATACATGACCACATGAGAGAAAGAGATGTTATCTGCACAACCATGTGTTTAAATGCATTGTAATATGTTGTAACTAGTTTGAAATATAATTTTGTTGAGTGTGGGTTGCTTTGTTTTTAATGTAGATGACCTCCAATGTTTTAAGGTTCTTTTTACTCTGTGTATATGTGAATATTGTTGTGTTATCAACTAATATCTGTCTAATATTATGTAATGGCCATGTTTTTTATAAAGAAGGTTGTTTAATGGAACTAAGTTCATGTGACAACTAAGTCTTTGTATAGGTTATTGTAAAAACCAATATTTGAATTAAAAAAAAATAAGTTAAAATCTCTGAACTGGCATGTTTAATTGAAAACTATATTGTTTTTTTTTAAAATATTGTAACCATTGGTTGCGTGGTTAATTTATTGGAGTTCAAATTTTAAATTTTTAAAATATTGACTTGCAAAATAAATTCTTACATCAAAGGGTTTTAATATTTCTATCAATTTATGTTTTTGAGTGCTAAATAAAAAATATATATATATATATATATTGTGTGTCATTTGTTATGTGCATATTTATGTATAAATATATCTTTTAATTTTGTCATCATCAATGCGTTTATTTCAATTTTATTATGATGTTTAAATTCTGACAGTTTATAAAGAGATCCCCCCACTTTATAATAAATGAAAAAGGTTTTAATAGGTTGGTATAAAACAGATGTCTGTCTGTGTGTATGTATACTTTTTATGCATGTCCAAATTTCTGTCTATCTATTTTCCCCATTAAATTGAACACATGCCACAATTTAAAAACTTTGTTCTGACCAAATTTTCAATCTTCAAGACTCACTGGGTTTTAAAGAAAAATTGATAAAACTTTTTGCAAAAACTAAAATTATAAAATTTTGCCTATAACAAAATTTTTATTGATGAGCTGATGTTCTTTGCATAATGCAAACATGAAAATAATGTTACATGTTTATGAGCCAGAATTTGAACTTTTTTTTTTGAAACATTGGCTTCAAACAAAAAACTGCAAAAAACTTGAAAAAAATTAACATTTTGTAAATAATCAAAAAGAAAAACTTGATTAATTTTTCTTTTTTATTCATTTTTCCTTCAAACATGTTTCTAAAAAATTATTGTCGAGGAAGATAGTGTAATTTTGGTTCTGCTCATCGATTTTTTTTTCATATTGAAAACATTAAACCTTAAAAAAAAATTAAAGCATTTGATTGAAAACCAACAAATGGCAAAAAATGTTTTTTAAATTTCTTTCATTTTTTTTTGCTGCAAAACAAAAAAAAATGGTTAACTCTATTTTACTTTTTTTCTCAAAAAATTCTCATTATTTCTCTTAAATGCTCATATCTTCTGCAAAAATATATTATAATAATTATCAGAATCTATATTCCATTTCATGATATATAATCCCATTTGTTTATTAAATTCATAATAATTTCTTTTATATATATATTATATAAATCATTGAAAATTTAATATTTTTTTTTAAAATTCAACCCCATCTAGGAAGCCACTTTCACATAACGGATATAGAATTTTTCTAGCTTAGAATTAAAAAGATGATAGAGGAAAGGATGGGACCTAGTTAGGGGATAGATCAGGGCATTGGAGACATTCTACTGACGTTACATAAAAAAATAGTAATTTAACAATTCAACCAGACGCTTCTGTCTTATTTTTTTTTTTTTTTTTTTTTTGGGGGGGGCTATATTGATGGGTCCATTATTTTCATACAGGTTCGATTCCTGTTGGAAGACACACATTTTTGAGATTTTTCTCAAAACAGCCAATTTGTCAATATTTTTTTTTTTAATAGAAAATTTTATCTTAAATATTTGTATCTATAAAAATAATGTATAAAAAAATATATATATATATATATATATATGTATATTTATATGTAAAAAAAAAAAATTGATTCTCCCTACTCGTTTCGAACAATTGGTCGTCAAATTGATTTGGCTAGAATAAAACGTATGACAGATGCCCGCCGAAACCACACATGAGATTTGATTATAGTGGTGAAGGCTTTGGTGCAGGACCATCAAATACTTTTTGAAGGGCTTCAAATCAGAAAGATGATATGATAAAGAACAAATTCCCAAACAACCCTCTAAAATGTTTTGAATTTTGTTGTGACTTCTCCTAGACCAGTTGCCATCCTGATATAGAACAACAGTCTGTCCTGCTTTTACCCATAGCTGGAGGGAGAAAAGGAGGATTTTACCTTTTTTAAACCAACGTTAGTATAATTTCTTCGGATGAATTGGATTCAACCTTGAATTCATTTCAATTTTTTCTCTTTTTCCATAATCCAATAAATATCCATTACTCCAATTCATTACAAACAATATAATATATATATATACGATATATATATATATATATATATAAAATTTAAAGAAACTTCACAGCATCCTGTCCATATTTAAAACTCTGTTTCCGCGTCCTATGAAACCGATAAAATGTACTGCCGCGTCCTCCTTTAGATGGGTAAATTAGAATAATAGTCCTGGGTAAGACGATAAACACATTTTGCGTCCTGGCTCAAGATCTTTAAACTAGAGCCGAATTCTCATTCCGTTTAAACTGCATATTCACTTCTGTCTGAATATCTTTGGGAAATGAATAAACTAATTGCTTCTCCTCCTTGTTAAGGGTTGATAAACCTCATAGAACAGCAAGACCAACAATCAGGAGAAACAAAGGAGCGATGGCATACAAGAATATAGATATAAACTAGTATTCTCGATTTATGCTAATTCTAATTTTATCTGTAATATAGTCTCAATTCCTAAATAAAAAACTATTAAATCCCCCCCAAAAAAATTTAAAAAAAAAGGTTTTTATAGTATAAATTTTGTAAAACTAATATCTCATCAAATTTTTTGAGCAAAATTATTTCTGCAAAGAACCTTATTCTTGATCCCTGCCTAAACATTACAGTATCAAAGGAAATGTGTTACATATCAGGCAAAATGCATAAAAGTAATTTGTTTGTCAGACACAAAAGAAGCCAGAAACAAATCTACTGTATATTCAATGTTTTCATGAACAAAATACAGCAAGAATTTTCTTTTTGTTTCATTTTCTGAAAAAACAAACCCCAATGATCGACCACATACAACAGAGTTTTTTTTTTTTTTTCGTTCTGATTTTTTTTTTTTCCTGACGGTCGCTCCAAGCTGTGGTCAAAGTGGGTTATGTGGTCCACATGGGATTATAAACTGGTCGCCCTATCCTTAAAACAGGTCGAAATGAGGACCTAATAAATAAGGCCCTAATGTCGATCCCAACAATGGAACAAGATCTTTTGCAATGGCACTCGAAAATTTGCATGTTGTCGAGGACTACTTCTCTTGGGACATTATTTCCACCATAACTGCTGGTTTTGAATAGTTCATTGAGATTTTATAACTTCTTTTTGTATGTCAACATTCTCTAACTGCCGGTTTCTTTTAGTTTTTGTTCTGGAACTGTTTTCTTTTTTCTTCTGTTGATTCTGATTGTTGAATTTTTAAAATCACATATCACAGTCTTCTTCTACTCTTGTTTTTTTCAAAAAAAATATTGTATTTATAAGGCCAAATTTCCTGTGTCCTTTATAATCCTTAAATCAATGTTTCTCTTTCTATTTCCTGTTCTGAACCTTCTGTTCTGCCAATCATTTAATAAGCTCAGTTAAAAGATGTTAAATTTTTGTTTCCTCTATCCCCGACGACTTCAATTTGTGGCGTTGAATTCAAGGATAGATAAATTTTTTCAAACTCTCTTTCCTTCTATGAAATGTCAAACGTTTTCTTTCTGAGGCTATACTTGGTATAACAACAAACCTTGTTACAAATTATATATAACTGCAAAATTGTCCAATTATTAGATTAAAATTTGAACCAAACATCTTAGAAATGATTAAAACATATTTTTTTGGAATTTTCAAGGTTTTTCCATAACATTAAACTTGTATCTTCTTTGAGCAATAAGAATGTCATAATTAACAATCCAGCTTCACAGAAGAATCGATGATGAATTGAATCATAAACAAAAAACGACATGTTTATCATTAATTAATCATAGCTAACAATCAGAAGCTCATGCAAATATTAAATAAAGTTCAAATATATATATATACATTCAGTCTCATTTTCCAACTTATTCAAGATGATCTTCATGTGCCCTTCTAATATATATATATTGAAATAACATCAAACTTGCCTCCAACATTTTTAAAATACGATTTCATTTTCAAGTATATTTTCACTGCTCTTTGGACTGTCATAGGTGAAACTCTTCTCTCATGTGTCAAACTTCTTATAAATTGAGTTGGATCTTTTCTAATTGATCTCTTTAGTTCTAAGTTGAAGTGATGATCCCTCTTTCTGTTGTGACCTCCTGGTCCAGTTTTCCTCTCTACTGTTCCTTCTTTCTTAAACTTATTCGGCATTCTCTTGATGGTTCTTAAATGGACTTTGAAGATGGAAGCCAGAGTATGAATGTTGGTACCATTACTGAAGGCCTGAATGATTTTTTTCCCCTCTCACCATTGCTCAGTTCGGAAGACAGTAGGTCTGACACAAAACGATTTTAACCTGCTCTCTTTTTAGCTGAATAACTCAAAGGGTTTTTCAATGATTCTTACGACAAATGGTGTCAAGATGGCTAAACGTTTTATCTGAAAACCTGGGAAAAAGAAACTCAATTAGTTTAGTTTTTTTTTTTTTTTCGTTTTTTTTTTTTAGATATTAAACATTTTGTGGGATGGACAATTTTGCTGTTACACCCGGTATATAAGCGTCCTTTTTGTTTCCATTTTCTCTAAAATTTCGTAGTTGGTCACATGTTTGGTCCATGGTATTCTCAGAATTCTTCTGTATAATCCTATTTGAGTTCTGCACTTCATCTTTGAGGAGATTGTCCAGCATTCACTACCACATACAAGGACTGATATTATATAACAGCTCAGAACTCTTTTCTTTGTTTCCAATGCAATTTTCCTGTTTCTTACTATTTGCTTAGCTTTTGGAAGGCATCTTTTGCTGTCCCAATGTGCCTTTGGATTTCAGTATCATATTTTCTGTCCTCTGCACTCTTCCCAGATATTTAAATTTTTGTATTTGTTTGATTTTGGCATCTCCAATTTGTAATTTGCATCTCAGACTGTTCCTTTTGCTGACAACCTAGTTTTCAGTCTTCTTGCAACTGATGCTTAGTCTTTTCTTCTTGCTTTCCTTCATTACCTTCTGTAGGAGTTCTATCAGTTCTATCTGCTAACAACTCTGTCATCTGCGTATCTTATGAACAATGTATTGGCAGCCACAACATAACAGATAAGGTAGGACTTCTAAAGACGCTTGACAACAGTATTTGATTTATGCTGAATTATAGCTCATCAACAGTTTATAACATGAAGAAACAGAAAAAAAAAAAATTGCTCCACTGCCTGACAAAATCCTTTATCCAGCACTTTACAGGTCTCAATGATGCTGAATTGGTGATGGTCACTATATATAACAATAATAAAGAATATGTTTTGGAAAAAAAACAAAAAACATATGGTCTACGAGAGTATTTCTGGAAGATAATGTTTTCAAAGCAAGCAGTCTTTGTAATTACAGTGTTCAATATCAAGAGATGGATCATTAACAATAAGTAAATAGACTTATATGAAACTCACAATAGGGCCAGTATAAGTGAACATTTAATCTTATTACAATATACACTAAAAATCTGTCCTGTGAGTATCAGATTTTCCAAGTCATCTTTCCTCACTATGTGACCCAGAAATTCTTCCTGATGCTAAGAATATTTCCTTTTTTTTCCCCATTTTCTCTAAAACTTTGTCACTGCTCATATGTTTGGTTCATGGTATCCTCAGCATCCTTCTGTAGAACCACATTTCTGTTACTTCAAGTCTTTTCTTCAGCTTCGAGGAGATTGTTCATCACTCACTGCCATGTAGACAGACAGTTATTACATAACAGTTCAGTACTCTTTTCTTTGTTTTCTAACAATTTTTTTTCTGTTTCTTAATACTTTGCTTAGCTTTCAGGATGCATCTTTGGATATCTCAATGCAACTTTGGATTTCAGTGTCACACTTTTTGTCCTCTGTTAAAATACATCCCAGATATTTAAATTGTTGTACTTGTTTGATTTTGGCATCTCCGATTTGTAATTTGCATTTTGGGCTGCCCCTTTTGCTAACAACCATGCATTCTCTCTTCTTACAGAAGATGGTTACTCTCATTTCTTTTTGCTTTCCTTCATTACCTGCCGTAGAAGTTTTTGTAGTGTTTTTTTTTTTGTCAACACTGTGTCATCTGCATATCTTATGTTGTTAAGATTGTAGCTGCCGATACATGGCCATCAGTGTGGACATAGAAATCAATACTGTATAGTGATTGGCAGTTTCACAGTTTCTCTCAGAACCACCTGAGAAGACATACAATCATTTAATTCTATTCATTTTATTAATTGCGATGAACTTATATATTTTTCTTTCTGATTTTAGGTTGTATTGATTCCACCTGTACGAACTGTGAGCATAGAAAATGCTTCCTTACCTACACATCAACAGAGACAGATTAATACTGGTGAATATATTGCTGTCCTTTTGCTCTCAATATCTATGTGCGGACCTTACTTACTATGTGGAGGAAGAAAAAGGTCCAGGTACTTACCTAGGGGACCTTGCAGCCGACTCCCATTTATTAGAGAGCGTCCCACCACAAGACCATAGCCTCATCAAATTCACCCAGCTTCAGCAGGGGTCAGGTAGCGTCTCTCAGCTTTTTCACATTCACGAAAAGACGGGGAAGCTTTATACGGCCCAGACCCTCGATTCAGAGACCCTTTGCATTTACAATGTCGAGTGCTTTCGTATGATCGATGTGGCAGTCAAACGAGCCAATTCATTCATTTGGATTTTGAAGGTAAAAGTAATTATTCAGGATATAAATGACCATCAACCAGAATTTCCAGAAAAACAGGTTAATATTCAGTTTTCCGAAAATGACCGAAAAGGCACCAAGATATCCATACCGAACGCTGTGGACCGGGATGTAGGTGTCCTCAATTCACAGATTACTTACCAGTTGCGTAAAAGCAAAGATGAACCATTTACATTGTCCGTGTCTAAAAGCCTTGATGGAACGTCCAAAATTAGCATACTGCTCGAAGAGGGTTTGGACAGGGAGGTTAAAGACTTATACATGCTCCACATAATGGCTAAAGACGGCGGCTCGCAACCAAAACAAAGCATACTGAATATCCAGATCTACGTCACCGATGTGAATGACAACGCACCTGTTTTCTCTCGAGATGTGTATAATGTTTCTGTTAAGAATGATAACCAGGTTGCTTCTCCGGTTGTGGCGCTATCAGCCAGAGATTTGGATGTTGGTAAAAACGGACGTGTGTCCTACCACTTCAGCTCCAAGACTTCTGATATTGCAAAATCTCACTTTGAGTTGAACCGGGGAACCGGGGATATCTTTCTAAGCAAAAGATTCAACTCGGGTCAAAAACAGAGTTACAAATTATACGTGACAGCCACAGATGAAGGTAACCCACCTTTGAGTTCAATTGCCATTGTTCAAATTAACGTCATTGATCAGCAGAACAATGCTCCGTCGATTGACGTGAATTTCGTCTCGGCTTCGACAGGGGATACAGTCGCCATTTTTGAAGACATTGAAGTTGGCAGCTTCATTGCTTATGTAAAAGTTACTGACTATGATATGGGTCCCAATGGCGAGGTTACATGTAACATGCACCATGATAAGTTTCAGCTTGAAATGCTCGGACCAAAGGAATACAAGATCATCATAAAAAACCCGGTGGACAGAGAAACAGAAGATTATCACCGGCTAATGATAAATTGCCAAGATAAAGGATCTCCACCTCTGCACAGTGAGAGTCAGTTCTCCATAAAGGTAATGGACGTCAATGATGTGCAGCCACAGTTTTCAAGGGAGATATTTAAATTTTTTATGTACGAGAATGAAAAATCAAAATCGCAAGTAGGTTCCATCAATGCCACCGACCCGGATCTTGGTCCTGCCGGCAAGCTGACATATTCTCTGTTGGCCAGCAACAAAAATTTTCTCCCTTTTCAAATCATGGATGATGGAGTAATTCTATCAATTGTGTCTCTGGATCATGAATTCCAGGATATTTACAAATTCCAGGTTTTTGTAAAAGATGGCGGCACACCATCACTCAACAACACTGTTAATGTCATTGTCGAAGTTAAAGATAAAAATGACAATGCCCCATATTTCACGTACCCCAGTGTTAACCCTTGTTCTTTGGATGTCACTTACTACCCGCATCATACAAAGAACATTACAGTTCTAAAAGCAGCTGACCGAGACAGCCGAGAGAATGCGTTTTTAAAATACGAGATAATAGCTGGGAATGAAAACCAGTTGTTTACTCTCAATCATTACACAGGCTTATTATCGTTCACTCGTGTTGTTAACCCGCAGGATGCCGGATTGTATGACCTCCAGTTTCTGGTTAGAGATAGCGGCACACCGTCTCTGTCATCGACGACATCTTTGGCTTTAACCTTGACTGTCAGCAATGAAACTTCGGAGATGTTGAATGCTGTTCACACGCAGTCCGGAGACAAAATCCATTTATACCTTTTGATTTTGGTTGTTTTAGTAGCAGTTACTGTCTCTGTCCCAGTAACAGCTGCTATGTCGCTCTGCATCATCCGTTGTAAGGATCGTAAGAACACACTGAACCGAGACGGAGAGAGTGTTTCATGTAAATGCGTCAGCGAACAAGGCCGGCTTATATGTCCCTCGCACATGACTTCTTATTGGCCAGACACGTCAGGATTTATGGCTCCTGACTCGGATATGGCTAGCAATAGTTTGCCAGCTTGTAACGGACAAAAAGGCTCAGTCCTTGGAATGAGGTCGCAAAAATCTACAGAAGTTATATACGAGGTAAGTACCAGCATCTCATCGTATCCGCAATGTCACATGTCTGACCAGGCCGGTCCGCTAGCCGATGGTTATCTCACGTGAATCAGTTGAAAGAGTAGCAAACTTGGCATGAACCACTAAACATGCTTCATCTTCCAAAGATGATGTGATTGAACAGTTTCCTTCTTTTCTTTTTTGTCTCGTTTGTTTTGTTAAAAAGAAAAAAGAAAGACTGAATGGACTAGTTGGAGAAACAAGATCCCCAATTCTGATCCACCAAAAATATCTCACTCAGTTTCACTCCATGGACCGTGCCAGGAAAACATTATAAAACGTCACACTGTTCACTTGCCAGCATCATTTTCTCTTCTTCATTCCTTTTCTCGTCTTCATTTTTTATTTTTTTATACACATTCTTTTCTGTTTTCCTTTAATCTGAACTAGAATCAAATCCAACATTCCCAATCTTTCTTGAACTCTTTTTTTTTTTATCAGATTCTTTAACAGATATTCATTGTTTTTAGTCACAGATCCTCTTACAAGAAGCAGGATTCCATTCTTTATTTTTCTATTATCCTTATCTTCTGTTTTTTGTTATCAGGATCAAACTTTCATCTTCAAATGATTCCCCAACCCTTTTTTTTTTTTTCCTACTCTTATTCTTCCTTTCTTTGCCATTAGATTCTGTGCAACTCTCTGTCTCCTACCTCAAACAATTCAAATCTTGCATGTGTTGGCACTAACACTGATGCTCACTCTTGTACACTTGAAATGCATGACAGAAAATGGCCACCAAAAATAAAGAAACAGTTCACATCTTGCTGGAGAGGACAACCAATTTACCTCGATTCCATGCTTTTCACAGATGGCATTTTCACAGTCTTCTTTTACCATTTTGCATTGGGAATTTTTACTACTTTCTTTTTTAAAAACTTTTGTTTTGATATCTGTGAGAAGCCATGAATGACTATTTTTTCCAACTACCTGAAAAAATAAAATAATCCTCCACCAAAAAAAAAAAAAAAGAAAAAAAAAAACTCCGATAGAAAAGAAAGCAAAAAAAAAAAACCCCAAAAAACTGCATTACATTACCCAAATTGGATTGTTTGCATTTAATTATCTACATATATCCCTATTCTGGGTGTGATTTTTTTTGTGGGAGGTGTTTTATAGTTTATGTTGCAGATATTGTAAATAACAACAAAATATGGAGGACATGGAAAAAGTTGAATTAACAAAACTTTTAAGAAATTGTCTTTATCCATTGTTGGATTGTTTGCAAAAAAAACAAAAAAAAAAAAAAAAAAAAACAGCAAGATTTTATTTATTTATGTATTTATTTATTTCGGATCGGAATCCATGATGTTTCAGGGACTGAATTTATAAGTGACATTTTATTTAAAAGAAAAGACTCCGCCTCTTTTTACAAACCTTGCCAAAAGGGAATCATTTTTCCCTTTATGAGAAAATGACGTTGATATAAATTCAGTTAAGAACAAGTTTAATCTTTGAATATATGCATCGGTTTGGATGCATTTATCTATATGTGTGTATGTATTTACAATGATGTGTGAGTGTTTTCCAGAAAGATTTATCTTGTAAGAAATGGCCAATAAAATTAGTCCCCTTTCTTATAATGTACTGCATTGATACAAGCAAACTACACACAGTGATACAAACATACAAGTAGGTACGCATGTGTATCTATGTATAGAAACACACCTGCCTATACATACATAAAACCAATATTTACATATCATCAATGAGACCACATACAAAGATATAAATATAAGAGTGAGCACAGAAGTCAACATCAAGTGATGACAGTATGTTTCCTGCTTGAGCACAATCTTCAGACTCAAAGATTGTGTTCAAACCTGTAACACTAATGCCACTCCATGTTGAAACTTCAGTGCTCATTCTTATATTTACCTATGCTTGTAGCATATATTAAAACTATATTTTTTTGTATATATATATATATATATATATATATATATATATATGCATGTGTGTATACATAGAAATCAACACTACATCATGACTGGTAGTTTCCCACCTTCACACGAGCAGATGATGTGAATCCCTATGTAGTGTCAATTTCCTTGTCCACACAAATGTCCATATATCTCATTGAATAATACAGACTTATGATGTCTCTTTACTTTTATAATGATCCTTTCCAGTTCCCTAATCAGTCTCTTGATGTTAAGATGAAATTCGTCAAGGATGGCAGCATAGTTTTTTCCTACCCAAATACTTTCAACCTCCTCCAAATATTTGGGTAGGAAAAACTATGGCTCCTTCCATGATGAATTTCATTTTAATAAGAAACTGATTAGACAACTGGAAAGGATCAGTATAAAAATAAGTATAATAATATGTCTATATTATACAATGAAACATGATTTGAATGAAGATATGCTCTCTCTCTCTCTCTCTCATATATATATATATAAACTATATATATATATATATATTATCTGTATAAAAAAGATGATGCAATAAAAATTATTATCCAACACGAACATTTTTGAATGAAGAAATTGCACCAATATATAAACATAGGTATATATATATATATATATATTATTTGTATTAACTGTGCATCAGACAAAAAAATTGGATGTATATGTTGTCAAATCAAAAAAAAAAAAAAAAAAGTTTTGTCCAATGAAGTCCTAAATGATGAAATATGTCACATGAAAAATTTGTCCAGTTTGTCATAATTTTCCCTAAAATTCTTCATAATAGGCAAAAATTTATATATCATTTCCCAATGTGGGTGTCTGCGAATGTTTTGTCCTCAATATTAGCACTTTTCCCCTATAACAGAGCAAATGTCAAGCAATATATGTGATGGACACTCATCAATTTCAATGTATGAGGGACCAACAGTTCAATTTTAGAAATGAACTTCTGCACAAACCCCATAGATGCTTTGATTATAGTGGTGAAGGCTTCTGTGGGACCAGCCACACTTTTCAGAGCTTATAACAGGGAAATGGTGTATGGTGTGTCACAAAGTCTACAAGCCATGCTCCTCAGGTTTTATTTCATTTTCTTTTGCTTAGACTGGCTGCCAACCAAGGCAAGAGATCGCAGTCTGCCCCTGCTATTTAAGCCATAAATGGAGAAACGTGCATAGATTTATGCCTTTTCCAAGGGCATTAGAATGAAGTGAATGAAACTGAATCAACCAGAATTATTTTAAATTGGGTTGACAATTCTTATTCCCACACCAACAATCATTGCACAGCCTCTCTCTCTCTCACACACACACACATATATATATGCATGTCAGTAGGATACAGAATCCAAACAAAAGTGAATAAACAACACCACCACTAAAAGAGATATAAACACCAAATCAAAAACAGGAGGCAGGTATATATATATATATATATATATATATATATTTAATCATTTCACTCCAAGCAAGGCAATAAAGCCACTTAGAAGCAAGAGGGCTACTGAGTATGAGAAAAAAAAATTATTATGGAGAAAGAAAATAATAAAAGAACAAGAAATAAGAACACAAGATAACGATTGACATTGCATTTAAATTTTTGAAGATCAATGTTGATTGGAAAGCAAGAAACTGGAAGCTAATAACTTGGTTTCCAGCATTTTTAAAATTATTTCACTCCAAACAAGGCAGTAAAGCCACTAAGATGCAAAGGGTTACTGATTGTGAGAGCATATGAGGAAAAGAAAAGATTATTAAGCAGTGAAAAAAAATAAAATACAGAAATTAAGCATACAAAAGATAACGATTAATATTTTATTTTTTGTTTCTATCTATCTCAAATCATATATCCCTATGAATTTCAGTTCAGATAGATAGAACCTTATCAAAACAAAAATGAAACTCTTTGATATGGCTTATAAAAGGTGAAAAGTTCCCTGTAAACATTGGACAAATTATGTTCAAATTGTCCCTAGAAACCAGAAAATAAATTGTACAAAGTGTCCAGTAATGTACATCAGTGAAACATCTAGAAACCTCCAAAAAGTCTAACTGAGCATCACAAAGATATGCGATATAACAACAACTTGAACATACTCATACTTCTGGTCACAATTTTGACTGGTTTTGAGTCCAGCAGAGTTTGGTAGCTTTAATACAAAAGAAAAAAAAAACACTCAGTTTTGTTATCTCATTCCGACCAGAGGATTCCAACCTAGCAAATGGACATTAACAGCTTTATTATAAAAAAACACACTGATTTGTCTACAATTCTGACCTGAAGATGACTACTTACCTAAATAATGAAGTCGAAACACATTATAGCAGTCTGATGAAGAGAGAAAAAGATTCGCTAAGAAGAAAATGCATTGAGAGTGCACTGATTTCAAAGTTCCTGACCAAAGACCAGGTTCATACATAATAACATAGTCATTGACAAACAATAATGGCACAATGTGGTATGTGGTATTAACAGGGATCTGCTCAGAATGGGCTGGTTTGGAGTCAGAGTGACTTGGTTTTGCGTCCAGCAGAGTTTGGTAGCTTTAATACAAAAGAAAAAAACACTCAGTTTTGTTATCTCATTCTGACCAGAGGATTCTAACCTAGCAAACGGACATTAACAGTTTTATTACAAAAAAACCACACAGATTGGTCTACAATTCTGACCTGAAGATGACTACTTACCTAAATAATGAGGTCGAAACACATTATCAATAAAAAGGTTTTCCACTTTTCCTGAGGTATATATATTAAAGAAAAAGAAAAACCATTGATGGAACCAACAGACAACTTGCTCAAACCGAAAACTCTTATCCAGATACATTCTCAAATAAAAACGACAATACTGTGAAAAGAAAGAGAAAAAAGGCCTAAAGGCAAACTTACCTACTTGTTAAAGTAATGTGTTCGACACCTAGATTGCATATATATATATATATATACTTTTGAATAAAGACAAAAGGAACTGCGTAACTTTATCATAGTAAATGCATTAGCTAAGTTTTCCTTTCGACTTTATTCATATTGTCTATTTACAAATATACACTATTTTAAATTCTTACATACATACATACATATAACATTTGCTATATTTATAGGGGAAGAGTATTCAAAATTGGTGAGTGATCAT